AGGAAGGGGGAGGAGGTGAAAGAAGAGGAAGGGGGAGGAGGTGAAAGAAGAGGAGGGGGAGGTGGTGAAAGAAGAGGAGGGGGAGGTGGTGAAAGAAGAGGAGGGGGAGGAGATTAAGGAGGAAATGGGGAGAAGACAAAGATGATGAAGAGGAGAGAATAATATTTGTCTATTATTACATTCATTTGAAGCATCAATTCAAGGAAATATTACTATCAAACTAATAAAGAAAACAATACAAGGGACATTGAATAAGTTTTCTACTCTAGCATGAACTTAAAATTTTATGATGGAACTAGCTTCCTTATTTCCTTGTTTTTCTAAGTAAACCCCCTCTACTTCAACATACTTTGTCCAATCTAGTCTCTAGTGATTGAATGCTCTCAGAATAAAATGAAACATCGTAACTACGAAGATACCACATTACAGTTTCCTTTGCTGGTACATTATCAGAAAATTGTTGACCATACAGAAATTTTTTCATGTTCCAAAACGGAAAATAGTGTCTAGGAGTCAGATCAGGACTATATGGTTGGTAATTAAGTTCAGTGAATGCAAAGTCCTTCACAGAAACCTGTGCTTAGTGTGATCTGTGTGCAAGCATAATGTAATGGACACACACTGGGCAACTTCTTCTTGTAATGTTTCTACTTGACAACCTCATGTAATGTCAGTATTATGGAAGAATATTTGTAATGGTTGACTTGTGTGGCATGAATTCAAGCGAAACAATTTTTGTGTCCCAAAACTCCCTTATTTCCAGGTCTCTCCTACATACTTTTTTGGGAATAAGATATCCTTTGTCTTTCCATTGCAATGACTCTTGCTTCGTTTCAGGATCACAACGGCTAACCCATGTTTTACCCATTTCAATTCTTGAGTAAAAGTGGTCTGGGCCTGCTCTTAACAAGTCTAAATTCTCTCAACAACATTGCTGGCAAAATTCTTTCTGCTCAAAAGTCAATCTTCATAGCATTTGCCGAGAACTGACCTTCCCCTCTCTATGGTTGGACTCAACTGGACTTCACCTCTCTATGGTTGTTAGAATAAATGGTGCCAGTTTGAATACTATAATACTGATCTTAACACCATGATCTTCAAAAATCATGGGTTCCACTTGAGGGCACATTTTCTTCAAAGGTGCTTCCATAGGTGATGCTTAATGTGGGTTATATCTTCAATCAATTCCCTCCCTCACTTAAATTGTTTGGCCCAAAACTTTACTTAACAGTACAAAAGTGCATCACATATAATATTTATTCTCTTGTGAATTTCTTTAGGCTTCTTTCCTTCCTTTGCAAAGAATTTTATCACAAGTTTCAAATATCTCATTTGCTCAGTTGATCTGCATAGAATCTCACCTACCATCACTTTCAGTGCTAATGCAAACTGCTTTGTAGCGAAGTACGTAGCATGTCAAGACATGTCCCAGCCTCAGCTCTCCAACAACGACATAAGATACCGAGGTAGATTACTTATTGAATGCCCTCTGAAGAGTGTTTTATAATAATAATAATAATAATAATAATAATAATAATAATAATAATAATAATAATAATGTATACATTCTAAATGCTCTTAGCAGATCCAAAATGACACTACAGCACAACACTTCATAAATAAACCAGGTGCTACAACAGTACATACTTTCTCGCACATTTGTAATTTTTGAAATTTTTAAAAATTCATAGAGTTCAATGGAAATGAGATCTGTACCACTTTTTAAAGCAAACTTTGCTCTACCTTAGGAACAATTTTTAAGAAAATTTTAAAAATGATGTTGAAGCTTCAGATAAAGTACCTGTAAAAATCAAAATATTTGTTTGAAATTCATAGGGTCATGAATTTGCTCAGATCAATTAAGGAATATCAATTTTGGAAAAAATTGACCGAACTGTTTAGGTGCTACCGTTAACCACACACATTCTGGCAACCACCAATTTTTCAGTATCAAGGACCCACAAAACATGGATACTAGAGGTGATAGAAGAAGTAATTTCCTACAGATAGGAACAGGATCTATCCACTTTTCTGGTGTCAGGAGCCCACAAAACTAGTATTTTTTGTCCCAAAAAGTTGCCTCCCCCTCCAAGCATTACTATACTTTTTCTGAACTATGTAAGTAGTATGTGAAAAATGAAAAAAAGAAAAAGTAAACCATTGGAAAGGATGGATTAGAGGAGGAAAAGGTTTGTTTGTTTTGTGTTTAAAACTTTTGAGTAGAAACATTGAAGCAAACTATTATTTCCTCACACATCAAAATGACTGCCACTTTTCTTGTACAAATCCCTAGATACCAGTCCTTAACAGAGGATCTTCAGGAATAGAAAAACACATCTATTTTGATGTCTGATGGAAAAAGAGTAAGTAAATTATCAATTTAATACATACGAAAGTATTTTAGGTATTTTCCGCGTCGGAACTGTGGTCACCACCTGTCCCCAAAGAAGGGTGCCAAAACCAAAGAAGAGACACCACAGCCATTGTTCTACAGTCAAGCCAGCAGTTGAAAAAGCTACATCTCCAAATTCTATTATGACAACCTGCAAATGAGAAACTATGTTTACACCACATAATATATATTTTTCAAAAGAAAATGACAAATTAGAATTTACTTTAATAACAAGATTACAATTTATTTTACCTTTTTCATTATTCATCTGATTATCTGTAAACATGAAACTAAAAACTTTCTATTGACAAGAAGTAGCAAAACTTCCCTAAAAACAAATTGTTTGGCAATACAATTCAATATAATTTAAATTAATTATACTACAATTAAAATGCACACTAGAAAGAAATCGTACACCAATTCAAAGACTTGCCTGTGATACCCAAGTTCCAAGCCAGATGGAGTAGAATATAGGATTTGTAAACATTCCTTGGAAAACATTCCTCTGTCCATGGATCTTTCTAGCATTAATTTCATTAAAAAGCGTCATCATAACAAAAGTATTAAATATAATAGTGAAATGCTGAGTGGGTATAGTCATGCCTCGACCCGATGGAATATCAAGGAGGGAATCTCCTGCAATTCAAATAAGTGGCATATTATTTAAAAAGAATTTCTTGAGCCTAATACTTCAATTATTATTAACTATTCATTAGATCTTACGGGATGGAATTTACACATCATTGGAATAAGCGAGGCACTCAAGCAAGAATTTACTTGTCAGTGATAAGCTACCTACAAAACAGCGTGAACTGACAACATACAAAAATAATGTTCCGACTTGCCTACAAAAAGAAGAGTAAAGATAACAGTAAGCTGATAAACAGCCTGGCCCAAAATATTTTTCATCATTGTCCTCGAAATTAGAGGTTTGGTTCTTCCATAAGGTTTCCTCAAAAGCAAGTCAGGAGTTGGTAATTCAGTAGCCAAAGCCAAGGATGCTAAAGTGTCCATAATTAAGTTTACCCACAACATCTGAACAGCCTGAAAGGAAAAGGGAAAATTAGTATATATAGTTCTCACACAAGACTGACACTTTCCTTTGAAATATAACCAAAAACAGGCCTCAATTTAAATTTATGGCAATCCTCAATTAGTCAACGAAAATGTTAAAATCAATATATAAATAAAAGGTTATAAATATACAATTTAATCTTTATTTAATATCCAACTCAATTCTTTAAAAGAGGACTATATAAAAAGTAGTTCATGTTTCCAGTGGAACAAAAAGAAAGAAAGAAAGAAAGAAAGAAAGAAAGAAAGAAAGAAAGAAAGAAAGAAAAGGGCATAGCATAGTTACTATCTAAACTGTACCTTCAGAGGGCTATCCTGCACAGCGCATGCACCAATAAAAGCAACAATAACTGCAACTACATTCACAGTTAGCTGAAACTGAAGAAATTTTGCTATGCTGTCATACACATTGCGGCCCCACATCACAGCCTTCACTATGCTAGTGAAATTGTCATCTGTCAAGATGATGTCTGATGCTTCCTTGGCAACATCAGTCCCAGCAATACCCTGTAAATAAGCACATTGAGTAAATAGAATATTTTTGTAATAAATAAATTAAAAGAAATAAAAATAAAAATAAATAATTATGGGGGAAAAATACTGAAACCTTTCGAAAGCACTTCTGTATCAACTCAATCAATACCCTATGTATCTAATACCTTGTGCATTATTATGAAACATCTGTATCATGACAGCTTACTTTATTTAACAAATTAAGATAATCATCACTGGAGAAATTCTTATTTATCTCTTGGCGATTTTCCTTCCATAGCTTTACATAATTTCAGCAAGTTTTATTGATACTACTACAGAAAAATTATATACAAAGAAAACAAACCATGAAATCAGGATACAGTTCAGGAGGGGGGACTTTTGAAGAGAGAGAGAAAAAAACAAAAAAAAGAATTTGTGTAATTTGATGGATGAATTGTAAGACAACATTTTCAATACATTCCAAACAACACTTGAAAAGCAATATTTAATTAAAATTACACAATTCTATTATTTTCCTATCCCCTTCCCAGTTTTCAAAACAGACAGCATTTGCATTGCACAAACCCAGCAAAACATAGTGGAATGTTCACGAAATATGAATTAACAATCAATTAATAACATGTTAAATAAAATTTATTTGATTAACTTACCATAGCAAAACCCACATCTGCTTTCTTCAAGGCAGGCCCATCATTGGTACCATCACCAGTCACAGCCACTACCTCTCGATTATCGCTGACTTTACTGTCTATGATTCCCTTTACTAAGGTGTACTTATCAGTAGGAGACGATCTGGCAAGTACCCTCAACTTTGGCCAAACTTTATCCAGCAAATGCTGTTGAACCTAAATTTTACAGAAAGAAAAAATGAAATACTTTAACAATTTTTTTTCACTCAGTTATTTGTTAATAGTTTTAACACATGCACCTACTAAACATAACACATCAAGTACTTTCATTAATTCCAAATGAAATTATTCATTTTTTACCACACTTACTAATCATATTCCTCTTTCATGCATCCTAATGAGAATATAATAACTTTCAAATGAGGAAGGACAGCATGAAGGAGCAAGGGAAAACTATACGAAGTCTGAAACCTTATTTTAAAACAAGACATCAGAATAATTGAATTTTTTAAACAAATTTTTCAAACTATATTGAAATACAACATTATTAGAAAATGGCAAAACTTTGCCATAAACAAAATTTCAAAATAAATGAAATTCAATTACATTTCATGACAAAGAAAACTAAATAACTTAACATGTAAAGCATTAGATACTCTGTGACCAAAAATTTTTTCTCTTTTAAAACTGGCAAATTCATTTGCCAGAAAGCGAAGTAAGTCAACATGCATAAAGCATTGTGTTTTGATCACTTCTTATTTAGACATAAAAAAATTTTAATGATGTTTAAATTGAGAAGATATACTTCACAAATAACATGAAAACTATCAAAATTATTTAAACAGAAGTGCATTACAACTGTGCCCACAATAATTTGTGACATGAAAGAACAGTTCGGGATCTCCTCAAAGGAATACTGTGCTGCTAAATTAAAGCATAAAAACGCTTAATTTGACCCACTCTCAAATTAAACATGTGTCAGATCGTGTCAATGTTTGTCAAGTTGTGTCTGTTTTGAGAGGATCCCATAACTGATCATAAATTTATAACCAATGGTATAAATAATTTCAGTGGTGCATATCCACATTGCTTCATAGTTACGTGAGTTACATAAACTGATTTTCTTGTCACATAGCACAGAACAACAGTTTGTAGCACAAAATACACTAAATTATTTATTCAACATATATGGCTGGAAAAAGTGGTGTTAGATTTAGTAGCACAGTATTTGAACTCTCAAGATGATTCGATCCCATCCCATCCTTTCAGGCAAGTGCAGCACAATTGTACCCACAGTTAGGAAATGCTTGTGAAGAGGTAGGAAACAAGAAGCAGGATATGACAGGATTACGGTTTGAATGTACATTTTGAAATTTCCTCTGCAAGAAAAGGTACAGCTTTCAGTTAACTAAATACAGTTTAGATTACCTTGTGAGAAGAAAGTACTCACCAATGAGGCTGCTGTAGTAATATTAAAATTCTAACACAGCACCAGTTTTATTTTCACAGCCACATTGAGAGTTCATTGCAACAGATTTCAACTTTTATTGAAGAAATACTCCTCAATTTTATTTCTCTACTATAAAGCAGTACAATCTCATTTCCTTTTTCCATTGTTTTTAAAGCAAGAAACTTCCATGTCCCATAATTTTTAACGTAGTTCACTTTCTCTTTTTTCCATTTTACCAGCATGTTGATTTTTAATGAGCAGAAATGTTTCAAAGATATTTTAATAAGAATTAGTGCCGAATTTTAAGTACTTCACAACTATGATGAAGAAATGGCTTCATAAGCAACTTTTCTTCTCATTAAGAGATAAATACAGTAGTTCGAAATACAAAAGAGAAAAATAAACAAGTTATCATTTTTCAAATATGATTTTGTAGAAATTAGTTTACAGGTGAACATTTTTTTCTTTTCAAAATGAATCAATAGTTTATAAATAAACATGGTCAAATGAATCGAACGAATTCCTTCCCAGGCATATTGGATTTCAGATGCGACTGTCCTTAAGTACAAAAACAGTAGACTTCTTCTCTCATTCTTTTCTGCATTCTTTTTATTTATTTTCACTCCTGGAGAAATGTGTTATTTTCATACCAATTTTCTTTCCAAAATATCAAAGAAGAAATAAATTACATCCAAATTCATTATATTATACATTATAAATATATTCAAGTTTCTTCTTGTTTCTCACATGCTCATGTAGGTAAATTTCACAATAAATTTAAACAAGAAATTTAAGCTTTGGTGAAATATTCCATTTTTTTCTCTCCAATTTCAAATCAAATGTTGAAATTCTATTAAAAATATCTGCAATATTGTATTTTCCTTTGAACATCCTTCATAGCAAATAAACACAGTATATATTCATCAGAAGAATATATTATTCTATCCGATATATTTCTATTCAATATCAATACAATTTTCATTACTGATGTAAGAAAATGAACTTAAAAGTGCATTTGTAATTATAATACAAGTCAACAATTTAGAATTTTTAATCGCAAGAAGTGCTTTGAAATTATGTTGATTCAATGGGAGCAAAAGCAGGAACAGCAATATCAGCAACAATCATGCTGGTGAATGCTGATAACTGGTAGTCACAGCAACAATTTAAAAAGTTCCAGCTGCGTACCCATAGTGATGAATAACAGATCCAATGGGAGTTTCAGATGCGCATCCAGAATGGTAATGGTTTTTCTTATTGCAACACATGCTGCAGCAGCATTTGCAGCAAGAATTATCATAAGTAGCAGTTGTAGATATTTTGTAGATATGGTGGTGGAGTAGTAGTAGTAGTAGTAGTAGTAGTAGTAGTAGTAGTAGTAGTAGTATTAGTAGTAGTAATAATAATAAATAATAATGGCAGTAGCAGTAGCGGTAGCAGTTTTCAAAATGTAGCAGTAAATATTCTATATTATCTTTTCACAAATATGTATTCTTTTTATCTCTTGTTTTATCTTTAAATACTGGTAACTTCACATTTTTCATCTAAGAATCAGAATAGTAAAAGTGGTATTTATGGCAATGGTTGTAACAGATTTTGTCATAGCATTTATATAAGTTTATTTAATATTGAGATATCTTGTATTCAAGATAATCGGTAATATAGTTTCCAACACTATATCAAATACATCAATTTCTTTATCGTAATTTTCATTTAGGAAATGATTTTCAAATTTTATCATTAATGTTTGATACTGTTTGTTGATTTTTATTGTACAAAGATAAGGAATTTCAAGAAAAAGGAAGTTTAAATGAGTGTTCAAATGTTATGAAGAAAATTTGACAGTGCTGGAAAAACAAATTTATCACTCCTCATTACACTTAATTATGTATTTCTTTTCTTCGTTTTAAAATTGCATCATGAAGTACAAAACAAACACACTGTTTATTCTTGCTGACCATATATAACTTTTGTTTTCCTTTTACAAGTCGTGTTGGCTGAATGCTGCACACAGTGAATGTTCCACCAAAGACAGGAGAAACATATGAAATTGCAAGGTAGTTCAGCAGCATGCATTTTTTAAAAGAATTTCCTTTCTTTTCAGTTTATATTATGCCAAAGAAGGAATTATTTATTTATTGCATTTGATATACTGTCATAAAGACACTGTCACATTAGGACATTGGTCTTTTTAACTTCAGTAAATTCAATAAAGAATATTTAAATGAAATACACAAATAACAGTTTCCATTATGATGTAATCATTTCTTGTAATAATGTATTCATTTTGTTGTTTTTGACATATATTGTAAGTGTATTCCATGCAATAATTCTTCTATATTTTGAACATTCATAATTTTCTTCTTTCACGTCTTCTTTTCTTTATTCTACAACTTCCTTTTTGGTTAATGCATAAAATCCGTAACATTTACATCGTCTTCTTTTCTACTTCCTTTTCTAACATTTCTAACAATTGTTACCAAGTATGAGCTTGGGACATGGATTACATTGATATCTTTTTAATGTCTTTCAAATGCTCTGGTGACACTTAATATTGTCCTTTGAACCCAGAAAACACTACAATAATATATTTTTGGTGTTGACAATGATTAGGAAGGCAATTACTTACATTATTAAAAAGAAATTCAAATAAAACTTGTTGAAACTCTTCCAACTTTTCTTCAGTTAATTTCAATGAGAATTTCATTAACAATGTATAGTCATTACAGTAATTAAAACATTGTATTCTGATATTATAATTGCTTTTAAATAGGGTTTTAATGTCACTTGAATTGATACAAATGAATTCAATAAACTTCAATATCCTTTATCTTATTTTTGATAAGATTAATATACATAAATAAAATACTGTTCTCTTCTTTATTTTAAAATTCCGAGTGTCTTTGTTGAATATATTTTCATATTTTATAACATTAATTTCTACAGTCTTCACAGAAACATTGCTACTGTTGTAATTATTCATTTATTTATCCCATTATATTTATAGTAAATTACGACAACTTGTTTGTAAATGAGCAGTAATCTTTTTTATTCTATTCCGACACACACATACAAGCATCTTTTTTATGTAGTCAATTCTTCTTGTTAATAATGATATTTATTATAAATAAGCCTATTTTTAAAATGCAGGATAGTAAAAATGTCAATTTAATCATCCTCTTGATAATCCAGTAATTAAATTAACAACAAATCTTGAGAACTAAGTAATTTCATATAATAGATCCAATTTCAGAAACAACATTATTCTGCACTTGAAGATTTTTCTACTTTAGAACAGGATTTGCAAATTTCTGATTGCAAAATTACACTGTGTAGTAAATTTTTCAGTTCAACTGAAATTCATAAACCAGTTTCTGCTGTAAGGGTGAGCTCATGCTGCATTTACTGCTACCATATGGTTTCATTTTAACACTGCTATTTTAATTTTTGGTCAGTAAATTGTATCTGATCCTCATTTTCCTTTTTTAGAAGGTGTCCTCCATGAAAAAAGTGAACACTATCGAAGCAAGTTCTATCATATGTTTATATCATATTCATTTCTTCACAACTAGATAACTTCATTTGAGCTTTTAGCACCTTCCAAGGGGCAAACATTGTACTAATTTGAAATACTTGAGTGAAGCTGACCACATAGAACGAAGATTCTTGTGGTACAATTAATTCATTAGGAGCCAATGAGATGAAGATCCAGGCTTGACATCAAGTTATCTAACATCCAGTTCAATAAGCCAAAGTTGTTTCAAGAAAGCACGATAGTAAATTCCAACTTCCTAATGGAGTTTTGAGAAAAAAAGAAACAATGATAATGAATACTATAATTTTTGTAAAATTTAAATAGAAAAAAAGTAATATGAAGTTAAATCTGACCCAAAATTACTCTATTGGCCAAGTCATCAATACACAAAATGAAAAATTTCAACTAGAGCACTTTATGTTACACAAATGAAATAGGGGTACATTACATACAATGGAAGGGCTGAAGAGAGTGTAGAAGCCCAGAGCATCTGCCTGGTGGCTAAATTACATAGCAGCATGAACAAAGTGCAAATTCTGTTGTATCTAATGCATACATTTTAGAATTTCAGTGTCATTACGAAACGTTCATTACGGAACCAGTTACAATACATAATGGTAATACACAGCTGCACACTCGAGCAGACGGAACATCAGTATGAGTTGGGAATCACCTGTGTGAAAGAATCAGGTTGCCTTTTCACATGCCCCACTTGCCTGTGAATATTTTCAACACAACAATAAGAATAAGCCAGTGCTAACCTCAAAACTGAGAATTAGTAGGAAAATCTTTAACAAACCTAATGAGCTTTAGCCTTCCGGCAGTTGCCTACTGTGCTACCACACTTTTTCCAACCTCAAAGAATTATGCAAGTAATGAACATGAACAGTTCATATTCAATGCCTTGAAAACAAGTTATATCAACATTAACAAAATAATCTATTTCCCCAAATCCATGAAAAGCCGGAAGGGCCAGAAAAATCTAGTAAGAATCTAGAACTTTAATTTGACAAATTATTCTTACTTCTCCATTGCTGTCACGTATTCTTCTGTTGAACTCCTTCCCTTCCAATATCAGGAAATCATCACCAGGTTTGATAATGCCACACTTTGTAGCGATAGAGCGAGCAGTGTTGATGTTATCACCAGTAACCATGCGCACAGTTATCCCAGCTCTCTGACACTTCTTAATAGCATCTGGTACCTAAAAAAAGAAGAACAAAAAAATTGAATTCACCATTGTGGGTATGTATTGTCATTGTGAATTTAACATCAAATTTTATGGCAGTATTCTCAAAGGAAATTACAGAGAGCATGTGGAGTCTTTGCGCCCCCCCCCCCCTGACACACACACGCACACATCCTAAAAATTTTGAAAGAGACTCCACACATACATTCATTGTTTGGCAAGTAGCAAGTAACTGCTTGCCAAATACCTCGTGGTGTGCAAGAGTTTCTTGCCAAGAGTGATGAACATTTGGTGGTTGCCCTACCCACTGCGTGTCGATCTTTTGGAAAGAAAAGCGAACATTTGCCGAACACATCAGCTGTTCGGGATTGGGTGAGCAGTAGCTTACTGCTTGGTGAATATCGAATGTGAAGAGTTGCCTTAACATAATAAACCTTTATATTTCCATAAATTTGTTAAATCCCCAATAAAATGATATAATTATACCGAATAGATATACTTTAAAATTTACAGAACTGACGACAAACGGATGGGCACTTTAATCTATCCAAATATTACTACTGAATCTATGGCTGAGTATGTACCATTTACTTTGATCTGTTGCTAGTGATGATGATACCTTCTAAAAAATTAAGACACTACTGTCTAGGTAAAAAGATTAATCAAAAGAAAATAAATACCTTGATGCCTCGACAAAACTTCTTAATTTATTATTTCCTTATGCTTAGGGATATTAAATTATAAAAAATCTCCATTTCACTAAGTGAAAAAGTCCATTCTTATTGTTCATTAACTCGTTGACTTGATATTTCACAATAAGTGATATTAAGTTTTATGTTGATTTATGTTGTTTTTTTTTAATTTTTGCAAAACATATTCATGTATAACAAAAATTGTAATACAATTTTATATTTGAAATTTCCTATATTTGATTTTTCAAATTCCACTTTTGAAAAAGTGTTACTTGAAATTGTATCTAAACATTCATAATTTCGAGTACAGAATTGATAAGTTAATTTAAGTTTCAAAATAATAATTTACTTGTGATGCTGAACATGTATTTTTATATACTTTATGAAATTATATTAAATGTGTTTCGTAGAAAAGTGTACTGAAATCTGTGAAAAATTCTTAAATTGTTAAAAAACTATGAAAAAATTGTAATTTGGCATTGTGCACCTTTAGTGTAATGAACGAATTTTGGGCAAAAAACTTTTGAATCTACCCATGCAAAGCCGCCAATTTAGACTGAATCCTGTGAGATGAACATCCTAAAATGCTAGAAAAAATCCCAAATCCGTCAGCCAAAATGGTAAAAAAATGGACAAAATTACCCTGAAAAAATGCAGCCTAGTCTGAGCTGATCCCTACTACAAGTGCCCAAAAATACATTTCATAAATTCAAAAAGACTGAAAATTGTTGTACAAGAGACATGCCAAATTAAATAAAAAAGGGGACCCATAACTGCAGATGCTCCCCCCTCTGGTTTTAGGCTGTGCTCATGTGCTAAACATAAATGTAATCAAGCATTACCGTTAGTTTGTACTTACCTCATCACGTACAGGATCTTCAATTCCAACCACACAGAGGCAAGTTAGATTGTTAACTATGTTCTCTTCATCATCCCAATTAGGCTCATTATCTATATGAACTTGGTTAATTTCAGCTTTACCAGGCACAAAATCACGATACGCAATTGATATAGTACGAAGTCCATCACAAGCCATGGGTTCAATTACTTGTCGTACAAGGCGATCCTGCATCTCACGGGTGAATTTTTCCAAATGACCATCACGTCCATAGATAAATGCACACCTTTAAACATGAAAGAATGTCTGCTAACCCTCTCACATACAAAATAATAACCAACAACAACAACAACAAAAAACAACTTTAGTACATTCAGTACCTAGTTGCAAATAAGTTCAACAACCAAGTTCAGTTTTATACTTGTATTTTATATGAAGTGTATAAAAGATTAAGATTAAGCAGAACTTCCAGAGTTAATTCCTGTAAAACTTACTTCTTTAACACAATTTCAGATGCACCTTTTGAGAAAAGTCTATAACCACCACCTTGTCTTGGGATAACTGTGCTCATGGATTTCCGAACAGAGTTGAAAGTATACACTTTTTTAAAGGTTTCTTCAGGAATATCATCACGAATGGTTTGATAATTTTTACCTATTCCTTGAACAAATCCCAATAAAGCACATTCTGTTTTGTTACCAACTTGTTTAAACAAGTCACCCTCTTCAGGAGGCTGTAATAAATATCATCTAATTGTTATAATTTCTTTATGCTTTTTGTACATGTAAAGAAATAGAAAGTAGTGAAATTTTAAATCCTGCTACTCCCTTTCCTAGAATCAGCTTACCATGATACGAGAAGTGTATGCACTATTCACAGCTATTGCTTGAATCAACATATTTCCAATATGTGCAGGGATATCCGAAAATTTGGGTGTAGTCTTGCTTAATTTTTCACAAATGTAGGACTGGACCACTGTCATTCTAAAACGAAATAAGATTTTCTTATTACTTGAGAATTTAGTTTGAATTAAATTTATTCAAATCTCTACATTTGTAGGATTAGCTTAAAATCATGTAGATTGTTAATATATTTATGCCAATGAGACACTTTTCAAATACAATATTTACCACTAAAAATCACAAGTCAATGTACCTGTTGGTAGTAAGAGTACCGGTCTTATCTGAGCAGATTGCTGTCGCATTACCCATGGTTTCACAGGCATCCAAATGCCTCACAAGATTATTATCTTTCATCATTTTCTAAAACAAAAGTGCCAATTATGCATTGAAATAGTGTAATAACCATACCTTGTTTCTTTGATTTTCTTAGAATTAATGAATAATAATAAAAATAATAATAAAAATAATAATATAAAATAAAATCATCAAGTTCCCTTAAAAATACGAAATAAGCATAATAAAAAAAAAAATACCTTGACTGAATAAGCTAAAGACAAAGTAACAGCTAATGGAAGACCTTCAGGGACTGCAACGACTAATACAGTCACACCAATAATAAAATTCCTGACCAGTTTCTTGGCATGTTTAACTTGCCAGCTTTCTCCATTCATAACAAAGTGTTCAATGCAGAACTGTACGATCAAAATCACAACAGTGAGGGCAGCAATGCTAGAACCTGTTACAGAAAAATTAATAATTACTTCAGCCTATATGATGAAATCTAGTGAAAAATTCTTACAATTTTCTCATATAACTCACCTATGTAGATAAATGCTAAGTCTTTGTAATCTCTACTTGAAACTTAAGAAAATAAGCTTACCAGCATAACCAATTTGGATGGCAAGTTTTGTAAGTTTTGCTTGGAGAACAGACTTTTCTTTCTTATGAGATTCAGCTGCTGGAGCAGAAGTATGATTTGCCGATGCCTCCGTATGTTTATTTGGAGTATTCTCACTAACAGAACCTGGCATTCCAACATGGCTATTCCCAGTGACTGGGGCAGCTTCTTCTTCTCCTGGATGACAGGTTATTATTATTAGTTATGATTGCAGAATTACATACTGAATATAAGTAAATTATTTGTGATATTGAGTTTTATACATATTTACGAAATAAAATTAGTTTGATGTAATTTACAAGGAAGAATTCAAAGGAATTCAAGGAATTCAAAGAATCTGTAATATTTCTGTAAACGTATAACACCATCCTAAAAAGAGTAAAGACAGAACTACCTAAGTAATAAAACCATTACCAGTTGACTAAATCAGGTACATGGCAAAATCTACACAAGAACAAACATTGTGTACATGCTAAAAATTTTACATTATAACATTAATTCTAGAGTGCTAAAAGCATGAATGTCCACACTACCTTCGTTACTTAATTTCATTTTGGTTGAAAACATTTTGTACATCATGTAAATATTAAAAACAAATCTTATGAAACTTTATTAACCAAAAAGGGAAAAAAAAGTCTAAAAAGAAAATAAATTTAAAATAACATGTCTGGTAATACATTCTTTTAAGCATTACACAATTTTTCATAGTGAAGTTCTTAGATGTTCCCTTCATTGAAGAAGCGCCATCTTTACAGAAACTGAAGGTAATTATTTAAATAATGTTCTAATAAAGTTTTAATCTACCCGATGAAGATATCCATGTCGCAGAAACATTATAAGCACTTGCCTACAGAAATTGAAATTAGAGATAGCAGATAGATTTCCAAATGTTACCCTAATTTTTTATGTTCAATGTTCCATAACTTACAGTGTCAAGTATTTCAAATTACAGAACATATCTTAACAAAGAACACTACAAGCACTAATAGCACAAATAACATTTATTTTGATGTGCTGCTTCAAAGTAGACATCAAATTCAACTAGAAAACAACAATGCATCACAATAGATCGTATTAAACTGAATATCCACAAAATTATATTATTGTGCTTTCCATGTAGGTAACAAATACATCAGTAATTTCCAACTTTTCTCCAGTTGATCTGTGTTTGTTGTTATGTAACCATACAAAACAAAAGGCAATACTCTAAGAGCTTGAGGTTTTGTCTCATTATTATCTGTCCCTTTATATAAGAAAACCTTGCAAGCAGCAATATGAACAATAATTGAAGGGCATTTTTATTTAAAAATTAAAAAAATAGATACTTTAAATGTTTGCATTTTACTCTAAACATTTACTTGAAACAGTATTGGAACTTTGAACATAATTTCTTGCATATAAATTTTGTGGAAATGACCATGTACGGCCATTCTGTAAATATACTACAAGGTGTCCATAAATAAAGTGATTAAATGAATTCAGAATAATTCTAGGTTCGTAAATTGGACTTCATTTTTATTTTCACTGAACTACAAGTTTAGGAGATACAAAGTAAACTAAGGCAAGAAAACCGTAATTTTCTACAAATAAAACATCATCAGGAAGAGAGACAGAGTGCTACAGAGCGCATCAGAAATCTGGGAATAAGAGATGGCACAAGCATGAGCTAAAAGGGAAATTTGTTTTACAGAGACCTATCTTGTGTTTATTTGAAAATTTAATAGAAATCACATGTCCAGATACTTATAAAACCTTTCCTCAACTGTGGCGAGACAAAGTATTTAACTACAATAACAACTTAAAATGTGAAATTAAATTCAGTACTAAGAGAAAGGACTATAATATTAGTTAAACTATAAATATACTTTTAAGATTGTAGAACTACAATAAAACTTGAAATGGGTATACTTCAGAAACAATGAGAAAATTGCTACAAGTGCTAGTATTCAATTCCACATGCTAAGAAATGATTACCAGATGCTACCAAAATAAATAAAATTAAAATTTAAAAAATGAAAAGAGAAACAACAAAAATTGTACATGAATATTTGTATGTTATAATAAATACATTACACATAAGTAACTAGTTAAGATTAAAAATAAAATACTACTACTACTACTACTACAGATGGTTATGCAGGAACTTGCTTAACTTGAAATATGTGTAATAAAAACATAATTAAAAAAAAAAAAAAAATTAAAATCTATGCAGTGAAAGCTCTTGAAAGTAAAATTACATTCTGATTAAATGCTGTACATCAAGTGTGCACTATGACATCAGGTAACCACAGATTTAAAAAAATAGCAACATGAAATTAAGAGTTCCATATACTAAACAGATCAAATGCCATTTTACCAACAATTAAGAGAAAAAAAAAATCCACTCAACTTTATTGTGTAACATGCTTCAGAATTTTCACAAGCACGCCTAATCAAGACAGCATTCCCAAAAGTTATGGAAAGGTACACATGCAGACAAAAACTTGAAAGCTATGGCAATGGCTTTTAAGTCCACTATAGTAAACATTTTTTTCTTTACTATTTTCTCTTTGTCTCTTTAACCCAACCAGACTGATGAGAAAGTACCTTTTTAATAATATGTTTAGATGATACAGGACTGAATTGTATGAGTACAAAAGAGCATGTGTGTAAAAAACTTTTTTTTAATAATATATATGTAAATTAACGAAAATCAAAAACTAATTCAAAATAATACTTGTGAATGAAAATCTTGTTGATAAAATCAACCCAAAATTCATATTATTAGGAAACAGTAAGGGAAAGCATAAAAACTTAACAATAATTGAATGAAATACAAAAATTGTTAAAACTCAGTAACAGATATTGAAGTGAGGAGAGAAGATGTATACCTCCAAGAGACATAAAAAAATGAAGTAACTGATTACAAAAGATGTTAAAAAGAGATAAAAGATTCATTAGTAAACAACTAAGTATGAACTGAGTAAATACACGAAAATATAATTAAATACAAACTGCTAAACCACATCCAGTGTTTAGCAAAACAAATCATGTTTAAGATTAACTAACTGAATGAACCAACTGTGAAATAAGGAGTAAAAAAATATTTCACCTGGCAAGCTCTTCTTCTTCCGTTGTTTCTTAGCTTCTGGTGAGGGAAATCATGCAAAAGGAAATTCATTAGTATTACAAACACATATCAATCAACAATTCCTGTTTCATCTCCAAATTTGTTTCACACTGGAAGAATTGTTGAATTGAACACACTACTTGATTTGTGAACAGAACATGTAGCATGAATTGCATTCACAATATGTATGTAAATAAAAGGGCAACACACTATAGGTCCACAACAAATGCACATTAAAAATACAAGCAATACATAGTCCTCAATATGAATTTCATGTGTCTAGCAGGAAATATTTTGTATCTACATATTAAATCTCTATAATAAGCAATGTGTCAACTACATACTAATTTTAATTTATCATAACTCTTAAGTAACAGAATTTTGAAATGCAGTACATTTCACTCTTCTGTTACAATTCATCCAATGTGCAACTGATTTATTTCATGATCACTGGCAATATTTCACAAAATAGAAGCAATATATCCTTACTTCAAAATGTTCTGGAGCATACACCTTTTTTTTTATATTTTGTAAAAATAATAACTTTATTATCATGTTTATTATTGCATGCATTGAAGAGTATGTACAACCATATTTAGGCATGGAAGTATATTTTAAATATTTTATTATCATGATTATTCAATAATCAAATGATATATTCAATAATCAGGTAAAATTTTAGAGGTATATACCACAGAGATTTTGGTAAGGATAACAACATAGTCTACTGCACGAATTGAACACTAAAGTGCTACCAGACACTAATCATTATTAAAAGAATTTATAGTCTATGTCTCATAAACAATCTAAATTATATTTTGCTACCATTGGACGTTCCAGCCCTTCTGAAATATGTGTATACAGATATGTTCAGCAAAGATATCTATATACTGAAATATATACCCATATTTATAATATAGCTGTCTTGTAAGCTATTTCACATAGCAAGCATCTTTTTGGAGTATCTTAATCAAACATTTGGGAGGAACATACAATCTTCAGAATAATACATAACAGTTACATAAAATAAACTGCACCCAACACGTTAAACAAATGAAGAACACTATGGTGTTAAACACTACAGTCATGCTGAATACTGAAATAAACAAATAAATAAGTTACAGAACATGCAACATCACAATCCATCTGATTTGTTCATTACCTTTCCTCTTTTTCTTGATTTCAGCTTCCTGCTGATCAACAGCAGCACCCAACAATGTAAATATTATTCCTGCTTGAGAATTTACTCCCACAGCAGCCACCAACATTTTTCCACTTCCCTCCATCACATGCGTTCCTGGGTCAAACAATATTAAGCATCAAGTCAAATCAGAAAATACATTGCAAATAATTTCAACTTTTCTCAGTGATCAAGTTACGAGTACCAACCAATGATATACTAAAGTCAATATCAATTGAAACACTAGAGTTTGATTTACAATTATCATCATTACCAATTTAAAACTAGTTTCGAGTTTTAACAACAAAAAATTAAGTTTCACTATAATGTTATACAGTTGGTATTTAAGATAAATGATCAGGTTAGTAGGTTCATTAAGGAAAGAAAAAAGAAAAATTTAATACAATTACAAATTTTGAATCTTAAATCTTAGATAGGAACTTTCATAGGACGGTACACAATAAAAATAGACTGAATATTTCATAAACTAAATGAAGAACATAAAACAATTTTTTTTTCTGCAATTTATTTAACATGTCACCAAAGAAAATTATTTGCAAATATTAATCCAAATTAACCCTCAAATCAGACCTGTTGAACAGATTACGAGCATAATTTTTTTTTTCATATAAATTAAGGATGGTGTTTCATGATATTCATATGACCCCTTACGTAGCTTAAAATATACAGGACCTACTTATTTACATAAAATTTATGAAGTATGGTCAACACAGCCTAGTAAAATATTTTCTAGAACACCGTCTTTCAAAGAGAGAGTTTAAAATTCCTTTTTAAATTCCCCCTTCCCCAGCAAGAAATAAAATTGTATTTGGAAGTTATACATTTTTTTTAGATTGATATGATTTGACACCATGCATGTCCAAATTATGTATTTGACACCAAATTATTAACAATGTGCATTAAAAAAATTGCCAAATTATCTTTAAATATATAATTTACTGTCTATCAATCAGTTTGCATTTTCTATTAACTTTATTACTGATAATACTAAGTAACATCACTCACAAAATTGAATAGTAACCTAACTCTGGGAA